AGACAGTGGCACTGAGGAAGAGACAGGAGTCAGAGCTAGAGGTAGCAGAGCTGAAGATGTTGAGGTTCTCTTTGGGAGTGACGAGGTTGGACAGGATTAGGAACGAGTACATCAGAGGGACAGCTCATGTTGGACGTTTGGGGGACAAAGTTAGGGAGGCCAGATTAAGATGGTTTGGACGTGTTCAGAGGAGGGAGAGTGAGTATATTGGTAGGAGAATGTTGGACACGGAGCTGCCAGGCAGGAGGCGAAGAGGAAGGCCAAAGAGGAGGTATATGGAGGTAATAAATGAGGAAATGAAGCTAGTGGGTGCAAGTGTTGAGGATGCAGAAGATAGGGATAGGTGGAGAGTGGTGATTCGCTGTGGCGACCCCTGAAGGGAAAAGCCGAAAGAAGAAGAAGATTTATAATTAGAAATGCTAGTACTGTGTATCAAAAGTAAACCTATGTAATGTAAGCAGACATAAGTTTTTAGTATAGGCTATACTCATAAATTAGTCTAGAAGTAAACTGATAGTTTATTCAGTGTTTCTCTCTAATTATGTGTATAGTTAGACGTGATAATATGTCAAAAGTGTGCTTCTCTTCAAGTATACATAGAAACTCATATAAATTAATTAAATAACAAATAACTATACTTGTCACTTAGTATACTTCTGTTTAATTATACACTGGCAGGTTTATAGTATACTTGAGTAGTTTTTTTTTTTTTTTTGCAACACTTTCTTTACTTTTGGGATCCAATATGGCAGTGATTCCTAATCCTCACCCATTTCCTTCACCATTCCTGCAGACTGTATTGTTTTCCCTGCTACCAACTAATCAGCTAATTACCAAGCTGCTCCTGAGCCAATGGAGCTAAAGTTAAAGGTTCTCTCAGTTCTAGTCACTTCTTTGTGAGACTGGAAAAACAGTAAAATCCTAGACATTGAATGTGCCACAGTAAAATAGTGAAACAAATATTGTGTTTCTCTCACTCTCATGAGGCCCAGCTATTCAGTGTTCAGATCAGTCAGAAAAAAAGGAAATAGGTAATGCAGACAGCAGAATATGTTCTAACTTAAGAAAAGCATTTGCATCAGACATCGTATGTGATACATATGAGTGTAAGAGCAGAATAAATTACTCGATGTGATATGTGTGCTTATGCAGACGAGTGCATAATGATCAGATAAGTGGTGCACAAATTTAAGCCAGTGTGCACTGTGAGACTTATCACACAGGATGCGGTTAGCAATGCCCCCCTCGACAGGTTTTATTAGTGTTGAGAAGAGAAAACGTGTGGTGAAATGTCACTAGGCTTGCATGTTGCTTGCAAACAGAGTGGAGCTGACAGTTGGCCTTTTTTACGCTGACGTATGGAAACACTGGATAGACCCTTAAACCACAAGGCCAGCACAATATGACTCATCTCTGCTTGTTTTGATTACAAACAAGTCACATTTATGATAATTAAAAAAAAAAAAAACAGGAATAAAGATAATGCTGAAAATGGCATTAAATATGAAACACTTGTATGAAACAGATGCCTGAGACAATTTGAAAATATTAAATGATACCAAATTAATGGATATCAAAGAGACCCTAATTTCTACCATATCTCCTAAAAATACAGCACATTTTTGTGCAGTTGTATGTTTGAGTTTATTTAACTTAAACTGGTTTAGATATTAATAGTTCTGCTGTGTGTTTCTTGTTTTCATAGAACATCTATCTTCCTAAAACAGGATCACAAGAGCACTCTTCTAGCTATTTTAAGCTTCAGTGCTCTCCAGTGGGAACACATGGACATGAGCTGGCAGTGACCAAAGAGGAAGATGAAATGATATTTTGACATGTGACTTGCCCTGAACTGAACAGCATACTGAAGAGCATACAGCACTGGCTCATGACCTTTGTTTTTTTTTGTGGCAATACAACATTAATAATGAGAAAATAACGAGAAACAAAATGAGCCCAAGAGGCTATCACACTTGACTTATGCTATAGGGTACGATCTAGTGAGCTTTACAGTAACTCTGTAACATGCAGTTCACAGTCAATAATGTAGTCATCCAGCATATAGTGCAGCTTGTTTTGAGGGGTTTTAGATGAGAGGTCCGACTGTGTTAGATACAGCAAGTGTTTCCTGTCACAGTGTGTGAGGTACCCACAGGAGAGCTAATATTATTAGTCAGGGTTGCTAGGTTTCAGAAAACTTTCCAGCCCACCTAGAGCTCAAAAAACACACAAAAGAAAGTAGCCCAAAAAAGGGAGAAACATTGAGACTGTATGTGCACACTATGTGTTTACACTTTGTTTGCATAAATTTATTACATTTAATTCTGTTTGTTTGCTATAAAAACAAGATCTTGGTGGTCTCAGAGTATTTTTAAAACAAGCCAAATCTTGCAACCTTGTCATTAACTGTTTGTATGCTGCTCCTCCCCCGTGCATAGGGCAGCGTGATTCCTGTCCCTATGGGCCTCTATTAGCGCTTGTTTTTTTTGACAACACTGACCAATGATTACGCAACGTCTAGAAAGGTGAGCATATCAATGGAATATCTCTCTAATAACAAGATTTTTAAATAGTTTGTCACTCACAAGAGGTAAGTTATATTTCAATGTAATTTAAAATGTATGAAGTTGTGAACAAGGACTTTATGAATATTAATATTTGTTGAATGGCTGATATAAATGGAGGGGCTTTATCACCACCCTCCCCTATGGAAGCGCCACCACTGATAGTATCAGTTAATATGGATAGCTTCTCTTCAAATGGTTCAATTTTCTACAATACAGTATATATTTCACACTTCCTGAACTGAAATATGTTTCTCTTTTCCATGTATGTCAGAACTAAGGTTCTAGCATTTTAAATCTATTTACTTCCAAAAGTGAAAAAGGGGAGAATCACATTTAAAGATTCTACTGAAAGACTCCCAGCCTACCTCTACATTTACAACCTGGTCTACATATGGAAAAACAACATTAGTGAAAAATGTTTAAAACTTATAAGTTTACAGTGGGAAATGAGCCCTCAGTTAATCGTCTGTTCAGCCAGTTCTGTTCTGTTGGCTTACTTTCCGCCCATTCATGCTCTATACCGCTTATCCTACACAGGGTTGCAGGGAGCCTGGAGCCTATCCCAGGGGACTTGGGGCACAAGGCAGGGGACACCCTGGACAGGGTGCCCACCCATCACAAGGCACAATCGTGCACACACACTCACACACCCATTCACACACTATGGATAATCATAGTGGACTATCATTTGTGGCCTAATGGCTAGAAAGTTGGACTTGTAACCTGAAGGAGAACCTGAAGGTCATGGGTTCGAGTTTCAGGGGTTGTAGGTGGGGGGAGTGAATGACCAGTGCTCTCCTCCACCCTCAATACCATGACTGAGGTGAGACCCTTGAGCAAGGCACCGAACCCCCAACTGCTCCCTGGGCACAGCAGCAAAAAAGACTGCCCACTGCTCCAGGTGTGTGTGTGTGTGTGTATGTGTGTGTGTTCACTACTGTGTGTGCGCGCACTTGGTTGGGTCACCATACTTGGCTACACGTCACTTCACTTCATTTCAATCAGCCTACAACACGTCTTTGGATTGGGGGAGGAAACCAAAGTACCTGAAGGAAACCCTCGTAAAACGGGGAGAACATGCAAACTTTGTGCACACAGGGCGGAGGCGGGAATCAAACTCCCAACCCTGGAGGTGCAAGGCAAATGTGCTAACCACTAAGGTTTAATTTGTTTTTAATAATGTATTTTTTTCCATTAAGCCATTTAAACCTTTTTCAAATTTTGTGCAATGTCATCTATAGATATGGTATCGTAACTTGTCTTTTGATGATGATGTGACAGCACAGTCAGCATCTGATTAGGCTGATGTCCATTTCATGTTGTTGTTCTTTTGGCTGCTCCAATTACGGGTCACCACCGCGGATCATTGGTCCGCATATTTGATTTGGCACAGTTTTACGCCGGATGCCCTTCCTGACACAACCCTCACCAATTTTATCTGGGCTTGGGAATGGCACTGGGAGCACACTGCCGTGTGCACTCCCAGTGGCTGGGGTCGGTTCCCTGGCAGGGAATCGAACCCGGGCCGTGGCAGTGAGATCACCGAGGCCTAACCACTAGTCCTTCAGGGATCCTTTCATTTCATTATGGCATGTAACTATCCTAAAATTTCAAACAATCATGAGGAAAATCACACTTAACTAGCAAAGTTTTAGACATCTTTAGGTAGACTAATTGCATTTACCTCTGCGTTTGTAAAACTGGCTTGTTATTCACACCTAGGGGCAACGTAGCATAGCTAGTCCACCTGCTGGCATGTTTTTGGGAGTTGACTTGGGAGTAAACTAGAGACCTGTGAGAAAAGTAACACAATCCCAGGATTGAAAGAGAGGTCCCTGGAGCTGTGAGGTGGCAACAACACCTGCTGCATGCCGCAATGGCCAGCTAGAAGCATCACACACAAACCGCAGGTATCATGTGTGTGAGCCACAGTGGTCTGAGTCCCCACTTTTTTCTGCTT